CTTATGGACCACCAACCTAAGTACAAAACATAAAGTACCAAACTCTCTTTTTTTAGACTTATTATTATTTATTTATTTATGCATACAAAAACTGGGGTGCAGGCCAGAAATGCAAGGTGAGGGTGTGAGTGAGTGAGTGAGGGTGTGTGTTTGTGTGTATGTGTATTCACCAGAGAGAGCGGGGAGCAGAGCAGGCAAAACAAGAGAAATACACTGAGAGGAACAGTAAGTGATACAGGATAGGTCTGCTGTATCATGTGAGTCAGCTCCCTGGCCAGGGATGGAACTCATGTCACAGTGACTGGTGACTGCTTGATAGTGCTGAGACTTTAACCCCTGTGCCACCCAGAGATCCAAAACACCAAACTCTTAAGGTAACAAAGAAGAAAAGCTCAACAATGTTGTTGGGTAAGGCAGTGACTTCTCAGATATCATACCAAAGACATAATCCTTGAGAGATATCACGGACAAGTTAGCCTTCACTAAAATTAAAAACCTCTTCTCTAGGCCCTCCCTGGTGGCACAGGGGGTTGGAGCACTATACTGCAAAATTAAGCCAAACCTGGGGGCTGCTTCAATCTGAGTTTGATCCCTGCTCTGGAGGTGACCCACATGGCACGGCAGACCGCGTCTTGCCTGCTGCTCCCCTCAGCAGTGCACTTTGTCGATCGGCCTGTTCTGCTCCCCATTCTGTTTCTGTGAATCCTTTGGCCACCCCTGCACCTCTGGCCTGTACCCCAGTTCTATATGCATAAATAAATAATATTTTTTAAAAATAGAAAAGCAGTTTTGTAGCTCCTTACTAAACTCACTCTTGGGGCCTTTTTGATAGTGGAGGAGTTAAGTCTCAGCACTATCAAGCTATCCACAGCCACTGCTTCCTTAAGTTTGATTCCCAGCCAGGGAGGTGACCCTTATGGCACAGTAAACTTCCCCTGTCTCGCTTGCTGCTCCCCTCAGCAGTGTATCTCAGTCAATCTACCTGTTCTGATCCCCATTCTGCTCCAGACTCTGTCTCTGATGAATCCTCTCACCCCCACACCTCTGATCTGCACTCCAGTTCTTGTATACATAAATAAATCTTTAAAAAAAAATTATATAAACTTACTCTCACCATAGAATTTAGCAATCATGCTCCTTGGTATGTACCCAAAAGAGTTTAAAACTTATGTCCACACAATAACCTACAAGTAAATGTTTATAGCAACTTTATTCATAATTGCCAAGAAAGGATTAAATAACTTCAATACATCCAAACCATTGAATATTATTCAGCATTAACAAGAAATGAGCTATTAAGCCATGACAAGACATGGAGTAAACTTAAGTGCATATTACCAAGTGAAAGAACACAATCTGAAAAGGCTACTGTGGAAAAGGCAAAACCATGGAAACAGTACTGGGTGTAGGTAAAGGGGGAAGCTGGGGGAGAGGGACTCTCTCTGGTGGCCTAGGGGTTAGAGTTATCACCAACACCCCTGCCTTGGTTGAATCCCAGCCAGGGAGCTGACCCACACAGCGCAGACCTCTCCTGCTCCCCATTGCTCCCCTCAGCAGTGTATTCAGTAGAGCTACCTGTTCTGCTCACCACTGTGTCTCTGGTGAATCCTCCCACCCCCACACCCAAACTTGTCTTTGCAAAAATAAATAAATCTTAAGAGAGAGAGAGAGAGAGAGAAAGAAAGGCACAGGGATTTTTAGGGGAGAAATTCTATGATATAATGATGGATACATTTGTCCATACCCACAGATTACATAACACCAAGAATGAACCCTAAGGTCAACCATGGGCTTGAGGTGATTATATGTCAAAGTAGGCTCACCAATTATAATAATGCACCACTTTTATGGGGGGTGTTGATAACAGGAGAAATTATGCACAGGTGGCGATAGGGGCTATATAAGAAATCACTGCACCTTCCTCTAAATTTTACTATGAACCTAAAATACTCTAAAAAATAAAAGTTTTTTTTTTTTCATTTTTAAGGTGCTATTTCAACACTTGCTTTTCTTTTTAAACATTTATTTTTATTTATTTATGCAACCAATCATTGGGCTGTAGGCCAGAGGTGCAGGGAGGTCGAGGGGCGAGAGGATTCGCCAGTCAAGAGTGGGGATCAGAACAGGCGGATCCACTGAATGAAATACACTGCTGGGGGGAGCAGCAGATCAGACAGCTGTGCCATGTGGGTCAGCTCCCTGGCCAGGGTCAAACTCAGGCTGCTGTGGCTGCCCATAGCTTGATAGCAGTGAGACTTTAACCCTGCGCCAACAGGGAGGCTCTCTCAACTCTTTCTTTTCACAGAGTGGACTCTAACCCTTTTGCTTTTTTGCTTTTGGCAGTAGACACTGGGAATGAGGAGCAGAGGGGAAGGGAGGCTAGAAGAGGCAGTCCCTCTGCTCACCGCTTGGCTTCCTCCAGCCGGCACAGGTACTGGTAGGCTACATTCTGCCGCCTCTGCTCATCCATCTCCTCAGCTGTGAGGCGTTCATCTAGGAATGTAGAGGGATAAGGTCAAAAAAGGGAGCACAGATTGGGAGGGGGGGGGCTCTTAACCTTAAAACTTAACAGACTTTCTTAGGCAACTGCTCAGAGACTTGAAGCATCTTCCACATGCCTGTCCCCCTCTTCCCAGGTGACACCTGGCTCCAATCTTCTGCTCCCATCCAGTAAAGCTATCCTAGTCTGCATCCTGTAATTTCATATAATACGTGTGATTATAGCCCATGAACAGTCAATGAAAGCCGCAGAGGAAGCAAAGAACTCTACCTATGAGAAAAATCTTAAAGAACAATCAGGTGAAAAGGGGTAAAGTCAGTTCAACAGAGAAAACTGTATGAAAAAGGCTACTCACTTGGGATTTAAAAGTTCACAAAGGTATCTTTCCTTTACCTTTTGGTCACCTGAGTAGGAAAATAATAATCTCCAAGACAAATAAAATGCAGACAATACTCTGACCTCCAAATAGTAGGGAATATCTTAAATGAGACAACATTCATACTCTGCCTTAGCTGCAGAGTTTTACCCTTTTCCCTCACCTTCTCCTCTATTTCTCTAGACTTCTTAGGAAAAAGAAGACAAAATCAGAAGGGGTGAGAGAAGGCTACACATATACACCAGGAAAATAAACTCAAAAGGCTTGAAAGGAGACAGAGCTCAGCAGTCTGTCCTTGGCTCAGCACTTAAAGGCATTCCCTACTATCTTATTTCCTTATACTGCATGTGCAGCAATATGGTTGGGGGAGGGGCAGGTCTTATTTGAAGTGGCAGTTAAGCAGTTACACACACACACCCCTCCATGCTCAGATTTGAAAGCACTGGCCAATCAGGAAATCATCAGTTCCTCCAAGGGTGTGGACAAGAAACAAGTGATGGTTGCTAAGCATGGAAAATAAACCAGTAAGTGAATGATATCACTTCAGAGTTATGAATCCAGGACTGTGAGAATTGGGCAGGACCTTGTACATGCACATTTAAAAAAAAAATCATTCTGCCAGTCTCATGTCTGGAACTAGCTTTTTTTCAACAGACTGGTAACGTTAGACTTTGCTTTTTGAGTTCTAAGAAAGGCAAATGGAAGACTTTGCCTTTCATTCAGAATATCGGATGGAAACTTCTCAGCCATCCTATTCTTTCAACCCCAGTCTTTTTCTAACGCAGAGTATTAGGGCATTAGTGCAAGAACTACCTCCCTCGCAATTACCTGGGGGAGCGAAGAAGCACAGCAGTGTGGGTTACAAATGCATTTTATGGGCCCCATCTAGACCTACCAGAGCTGAAACTGGGATAGGATTCAGGAATCTGCATTTCAAACAATTTTCCCACGTAACTCTGACACCCTAAAGCTTGAGAGCCAGCCTCAAAGCGGCATTAAAAAAAAAAAAAAAAAAAAAAGCCCAAGGAATCCCCAGGTCCATGTCGGTGCCCTGTCCCCTGGTGGCGCTTGGCAAAAACGGTAGCCGTCAGTGTACTGCTGAATCTTAAGGGACATGCAGCCTTGGAGCCCAATAATCTGGGTTCAAGGACAAACTCTTTTGAGCTCTGAAGTACGGGAGGAAGTCGGGGCATTCCACAGCCCACACATACTCCGCCCGCTGGAGGACAGATGGAGCGCTCCCTCCGGGAGAACAATCCGCGGCCCCTTGCCAGGCAAGCCCCGCGCCCAGCCTTCGCCACGACCTCTCCCAGGGCCACCCCCGATCAGCAGCACCGTTCAGCAACCCTCCTGGCTCCTTTGGCACTCACAGACCGTCCGGCCGCGACCCACTCCTCTCCCCTCCATGTTCCTCCTTCTTCCAGGTTTGAATCTCCCGCCGCTGGGCCACCGCCCCTCACCGGCGCCGCAGTCCGACAGGACACTTCCGGTGAGTGCCGCAGGGGCCCTTGGGACTTGTAGTTTCTTGCGTCGGAGACGCCCAGCCAGGTGAGGAGACCAAAAAAGGCCATGGCCCCAGGGCCAGGGTAGAATAGTCCCTTTCTGGAGGTGTTTGGGCTCTTTTTCCTCCTTTTTAGACCTTATTTCAAGTACTGTGTGCCCCTGCCCTGGCCTGTCAGTACCCCTAGTGTTCCCAACAACCCTGCTCTGCAGCCTATAGTATTCTTGAGTCTGGCTAACTTGAACGCCTACATGACACTGTGCATTTAACTAGGTGGTGTAGGTGCAGTGATAAATAAGTACAGTCAATTCCCTAAAGAAGACTGCTGGATCTGGAAAAAGCAATAGACACAATCAAATAATTTAAAGGTCTGTGATATACAGATAATCCTCTGTAGAAAAAGGAGGTAATTTCTGTAATTAGGAGCTCTGGACATACAGGGAGACTTCCTAATTGAGGAGACAGCTGATCTGGGTTAAAAAGTGAACAGAATTTGGGCCTGCCTGGTGGTTTAGGTCTCAGCACTGTTGAGCTATTGCCAGCCACTGCAACCTGAGTTTGGTCCATCCCTAGCCAGGGAGGTGACCTACATGGCTCAGCAGACCTCTCCTGTTGCGCCTGCTGCTCCCCACAGTAGTGTATGTCAGTAGATGTGTCTGTTTTGCTTCCCACTCTGTCTCTGGTGAGTCCTCTAACTGCCTCTCACCCCCACCCCATCTTTGGTCTAGACCCCAATTCCTGTATGCATAAATTAATAAAAATAAATCTTAAATAACAAAATAACAGAATAAATTATATTGAAGTACAGAGGAATTCAAGTCAGTGGAAACAGCCTGTGCAAGAAAGGAGGTGAGTATGGGAAATTTGTATCAGTTCAGTTTTATAGGAGAATGAAACTCAGGAAGAGATAAGAATAAGTTTGGAGAGGCACAGGACGAGATCCTGCAGATGCTGAGATACAGTCTGGGGAGCAGCCCAAAACTAAGCAGAGAACACTTTAGACACAGGTCAGAACCAGATTTGTAATTCAGAAAGATTTCTTTTGCAGCAAGGCTTGGAGTGGGGTGAAATGAAGGACAGAGACCATTTGTGAATTTATTGCAAGAAATTTATAGCACAGGTGAGAAATAAAAGGGTCTGAATTGATAAAAATTATTATAATGAAGATGTTGGGAAAATTTGGAATATTACCCAGTAGATAGCCACTGCCTGCTATTTCTCCTTTTGCTTTTCCCCTCATTTCCTACTGAAGGCAGCCTAGGCTCATAGCCTCAGGGGAGAAGTTTGAAGGGGCAGAAACAAAATATCCAGACTTTCAGAGGAACAGAGGAGAACTGGGACTGAGACAAAACCTTGGGAAAAGTAAGTTTTGAAGAAAGTAGGTGTTGTGAGACCTGAAGGGGGTCCCCTATGGCCCTCATCAGGGTGGAAAGTAAATAGAATCATGGTGCTAGTGATTCTTGATGAGAGAGATCCCATTCTGTGCTTTCTGGGAAGGGCCTTAGAAGCATAGCACCTTGAGGAGGAACAGTTATGTGATGAGACAAGCACATATGTTCTTAGTCATGCAGAAATTCCCCAACCCAGTCAGAAAAGAAGTACCTGGATGATTTAACCCTCTTCGATTGGGAGATGGGTCCCTGGGCCTCAAAAGACCAGGTAGATGAGAAGAGGGGGTGTCAGTGACTAGTAACTAGGTGACCAAGGATCAGATGGGCTCTCCTCTCAAGTCCCACATGTCCCCCCAAATTAGACTCCATACCCGAAGAAAGGAGGGGGCAAACCAAACTGACTTACATTGTTTCTACCATCTCAGTGGGAGAGAACCTTGAAACAAGAGATGTACTTGTGGAATTCCAGATTTATAGACTAACACATGAATTCATTGTTTATTATATGTTGGTACTTTATTCAGCATCCTGTTATAAAGACCATGTTTCTAATCTTCATAGTACAGATCTGGATACTGAGGCTTAAAAATATCACACAAGATTCAAACTCAGTCCAATTCCAGCCTTGAGTTATATTCTTTTAAAGATATATTTATTTATGCATACAGAACTGGGGTACAGGCCACAAGTACAGGGGTGGTGAGAGGATTCACCAGAGACAGAGAGGGGAGCAGAACAGGCAGATCATCGAAGTACACTGCTGAGGGAGCAGCGGGCGAGTCAGGAGAGGTCTGCTGAGCCATGTGGTCACCTCCAGGGCAGGCAGGGATCAAACTCATGTGGAAGTGGCTTTAGCTCTTTAGTGCTGTGCTTTAACCAGGGAGGGCCCTCTTTTTTTTTTTTTAAAGACTTACTTATTCATGCATACAAGAACTGGGGTACAGGCCAGAGATGTGGGGGTGAGAGTATTCACCAGAGACAGAGTGGGGAGAACAGGCAGGTTGACTGAAATACACTGCTGAGGGGAGCAGCAGGTGGGCCAGGAGAGGTCTGCCATGATGCTGTTGCGCCATGTGGGCAGATCCTGGCTGGGAATGGAACTCAGGTTGCAGTGACCACAGACAGCTTCATAGTGCTGCGCTTTAACCTGCTGACCACCATAAAGGGCTCTGCTTGAGTTCTTTTTTTTTTTCATCTCAATTGTAATCCCGGCATGTTTCCCATCACTAAGTCACCCGTGTGCCATCACCATAGTCCCATGCACTTCTCTCCCCACCCCAGCCCCACCGTTTTTGATCCCATTCCCCACTCCACCCCCACAAAATGTTTCTGGTATATGGCTGTTCATTATTCTTGTTATTTTCTCGCCTGGTCCATTATACTCCTACTATGAGCGAAACCATCCAGTATTTTTCTTTCTCTTTCTGGCTTATCTCACTAAGCATGATCTTTTCCAGCTCCATCCAAGTTGCTGCAAAAGACATGTGTTTCTCTTTTTTGGTTGCTGAGTAATATTCCATTGTATCTATATACCACATCTTTTTAATCCAGTCATCTACTTTTGGGCATTTGGGCTGCATCTATGTTTTTCCAATTGTAAATAATCTGCTTGAGTTCTTAATCACCATATGTTATCCCAGCTCCAAGGTCATGGCCATGAGATTGCAGAAGAGAGAATATATTGGAGAGAGGTTCCAGAAGC